ACTGAAAGTAATACAGAAAATGTATTGTCTAAACATGTATAATCTTTTGTTTGAGATCTGGCAGCAGAAGGGAAAAATGCTTATAAAACTAAAGCACAAGTGATACATCATAAGAAGTCTTCACAAGAAGCTTACAACACAGTTTAATATCTACACAATCTCTTTAATAAATGGAATTTCCACTGATTATTTACAGATTTTGATGCTGTTACCATCTCATGTAGTCTTTCCAAGAGACTCTGCTTATGTAAATAAGGATTTGTTGGCAAAGTTAATTATAGTAAAAGAAAAATGATTGTTAAACTCGAGATGAAAATGAAGAAGATATTTACTGCCTTCTACCCACAGATGCTAACGCAGTTTTGATTAGGACCTTGGATATTCACAGAAGGTCTTTTCTTGATGTTGCTGTATGTGGAAGATCCAAGCTAACTTTTGAAATATAACAGAGGGTACCGGGGAGGTCTGACTGCAGCAGCATAAAGTAATTTGTATTTCCAGGGAAGATGTGATAATTGAACAAAATGAGGTGTCCAGCACGACACAATGTTCCCGTAGCATGTGCATTATCAGATCCGTTCCACATGGGAAACTTCTGTTCACTAACCAGTCACTTCCCACTTAGAGACAGTCATTCAGATGTCAAGTGCTTAAGAGTTGCTGCTGATTTCAACAGGTAATAGGAACAAATTGGAGTTTTGGTGTTCAGCAGAGCTACTTCTGTCCAGTTGTTGGCCCACTAGTATTTTAGAGACATTGCAATGAGCGTCATCAGAAAGTCAAGATATTAACTGTATTGCCTCATCAGAAGAGGCAATACAGTTGTGGGTTGCTATGATTTTACAACAAGGCACAGAGCTACGTTTTCCAAGGTTGTAAATTTTGATAATTAAGCAAAAAATCCTCGCATGTAGGTATGTCTACAGACTTTCCTCTTGTGATCAATTGGACTGAATTGACCCATGCAAAGAAGGACAGCTGAGAAGGAGTGCAGGGTGTGTAAGGGTCATACTGTGCTGTGTATATGAAATCACTGCAAGTACCCACTGCAGGAACTGCCTGGCATCTTAACGGGTGCTATATCTGATTAAGGACACAATCAGGACTACATTTCTTTAGTAACGTCTTCCTGAAATTGTTGAAAGAAAATTAATTATTGGCATTCGTACATGTGACATAATGGAGTGAATGTGCTCTTTGATAAGTGTTCTTACATGGCTGCCAGGAGATCACTAGTCAAGCCTCTCAGATGTGTGTAATTAAAAAAGGCATATCTAGACTTTGTGAAAAGCATTTTCTTTTAGTAGTTAAAAGAACTAGAAATACATTTTCTAGCAAAAAAAAAGTGATTATATTTTAGAGTTGCAATCTATTTAAACTTGAGGTAACTGAAATAGGATTTTTAAAAATTCTTTTTGAATGTTTGAAAAAAAGTATTTACATAGTGTGCTCTGATCCAAACAACGCTGATGTAGTCAAAAAACTGGTGAAAAGCTGTTCAGATGGTTGTTCAATTTATACACTAAAAGACAAACCCTGTTAAATGGGGTGTGTTTGTTTACCTTCAGGGGTACAGATTCCTCAGGGAATCAGTTCCAGTGTTGTGTTAGCCTTGCCTAGCTTCCCAAAAATTTAACATGATTCTTCCTTCCTATAATCTATTATCTATCACTCACTTGAAGCACACATAATTCCTTTCCTCATTCCAAAGCTATACATGTATCTAAAGACTTCTATCCTCTTCCCAGACTGCTTTTTCTTGTTCAGGTTAAACTCGAACAGTCACAGAATCATAAAAATGGTTCGGGTTGGAAGGGACCTTAAAGATCATCTAGTTCAATGCCCCTGCCATGGGCAGCAACACCTTCTACTAGACCAGGTTGCTCAAATTCCCATCCAACCTTTCATTGAACACTTCCAGGGATGGGACTTCCAAAACTTCTCTGAGCAACCTGTTCCAGTGTCTCACCACCATCACAGAAAATAATTTCTTCCTAACATCTAGTCTAAATCTACCTTCTTTTAGTTTGAAACCATTACCCCTTGTCATATAACTATAGCCCCGATAAACAGTCCCTCTCCTTCTTTCCTGTAGCCCTCTTTAAGTGCTGGAAGTCTGCTATAAGGTCTCCCCAGAGCCTTCTCTTCTCTGGGTTGAACAGCCTCAACTCTCAGAGGCCTGTCCTGATACAGGAGATGCTCCAGACCCTTCATTATTTTTGTGGCTTTCCTCTGGACATGCTCCAACAGGTTCATGTGCTTTTTATATTGGGGGTCTCACCAGAGAAGAGTAGAGGGGCAGAATCAGCTCCCTCAACCTTCTGGCCACACTTCTTTTGGTGCAGCCCGGGATGTGATTGGTCTTCTGGGCTGGGAGTGCACATTGCCGGCTCATGTCCAGCACTTCATCCACCAACATCCTCAAATCCTTCTGCACGGGGCTGCTCTCAATCCACTCATCACCCAGCCTGTGTTTGTGCTTGAAATTGCCCTGCCCCAGGTGCAGGACCTTGCACTTGGCCTTGTTGAACTTCATGAGATTTGCACAGGCTCACGTCTGCAGCCTGTCCATGTCTCTCTGGGTGGCATCCCTTCCCTCCAGCGTGTCGACCGCACCACACAGCTTGGTGTCTTCAGCAAACTTGCTGAGGGTGCACTCGATGCCACTGTCCCTGTTGCCAACAAAGATGTTAAACAGCACCAGTCCCAGTACTGACCCCTGAGGAACATCACTCATCACTGGTCTCCAATTGGAGATTGAACCATTCACCACAACTCTTGGAATCTTTCTTCCTATGACACATCTTCCTGTACTCCAGTTACTATCATTGCTTCTCTAGACTCTGCTTGGTAGCCAGCACATTCAGCGTAAAACATGTAAGGTCTTGTCCAAAACTGGGAGAAGTGCCTCAGCTGAAACAATGCCAGTGCTGAGTGAAGTGGAAGGATTAAATTGTGTACTGCTTAGACCATCCTCTTTCCCATACTGTCCAGTTTGTGGGAACTCACTGGGAGAGGGATTTTCTGGATTCATTCACAGCAAACAGAGTCAAGAATCTGGAATTATTTAACATCTGTTGAAATTAAAAAGGAATTGCGTAACACTGCCTTGCGGTAAGTGTCCTTTTCTGTGGATTACTTGGCGTGGAGTGAGTGCCATCTGGAGGTGCGGAAACGTGGAGCTCTGTACGCTTTCATGCTGAAAAACAAAATCCCCACGCTTTATAGGTGAAATGTTCTTACATGAATAGGATCTTGAGCCTGAAAGATGCTGGACATCTGGCACTCACAATAGAGATTGTGACCTATAGCAAGACTTGAGGCTGGTCAGAGTCAGGCATGCAAGTGTAACGACTTCTGGTATTATGCAATCACCAATAAATATGTGTGGCCTGCGCAGTTTTTGGAAGAAGCTCTGGACAACACAGAGATAAGGACAGGCTTGAACTGCTCTTTCCTCTCCCTCTTTCAGATGTTTGGAGACAAACCAGTTTGGGTGCAGTTTTCTGCTCACAGGACAGAGCAGAAAGCATTTTAGCTGAACAAGAAGATGTCTTTTTTGAAGAGTAGGTTCACGTTTGGTGTGTCTGAACATAACTGTCTATCACAATTCATGTCCACCAAGAGCAGAATCAATCCTCTTCACTTGGGCTGATTGCACAATGTGGTCTTGCTTATTTAGGTAGCTTAATAATATCATCTTGAAAGCCTTAATCCTCCAGTTCTTGCTGTGTCAAAGGAGCCAGGAGGAAAACTGCTTGTTGCTGTGATGTCAGTGAATGAGATTTGGCTCTTCTTTCTACCATGTCTTTTTTTTTTTTCCTAGAGATCTCGTGGACATTTACAGTGGTCACACTGTCCCATACTACCTCTTGTGCCTTTGAACTGCTCTTTGCTGCTGAAGTCTAGTCAGAAAAACAATTAGCGTAGTTGCAAAACATAAGTATATGCATCTCCACCTTAGCCTGGTGAGAGATTGCAGCCTGTTTCAAGGCAACGCTAATCACTTCTATGTTGATCTCCACCTAGGACTGAGCATGATCCTGCAGATGCTACATACAGTTTAAAAGGCAGGTGTTCTATGCATACTTTGCATGCTCTGCTGATTACTGCTTTTTTCTCCTGCAGAGCAATATGTCATAAGCAAAGTTTGCATCTTGGCAATGAAGGTGATTTAACACTGATTTAACTTGGTTATTGTTTCCCTGGGCAACCACAGATTTTAGGAACTATGAACATGTTAAATACAAAGTTGATGATCCTAAGAGTGTAAGACAGGTTGCTGAGCCAATATGCCTTCAGAATGTGAAAAGCCTGCTTTGTTGTCAATGAGTTTCTATCAGTTAATCCAGGGGAAAAAAAACCAACCAAACAAAAAACCTTTGAGAGTAGAAATTTAAAGAAATAAAAAAGAAAGACTGTGAAAAATATTTGTTCTCCCTCCAGCAGCAGGAAGATGTGAAAAATCACAGAACACATCTCACGTGCTTTAAATTTATTCTTTTATTCTTTAAGCTTGAACTTGCAGATGACAGACTGATGAATCTTTGGCTAACTACGTGAAATGGAACAAGTTGCTGCATTTTATTGTCATGACTTTCAGAACTGAAAGTATGTTTGTTGTTTATGTTGGAACTCATCTGACTAGATCTCCTTTTTTTAAAAATTATTTTCAAGAGATAAATATTCAGGAAAAAATTCCCTTTTGGCTGTAATCTTGTTCTTTCTCATGTTAGTGGCAATCGTACTGTTGACTTGCACCGGAAGATGGATGAGAGGTGTTGTGCTAACTCTGTATATGGTCCAGTCACCCAAATTTGAAGAGGATTGTCTCCTACGACATTGTCAGAAAACATCCAGCTTTGCTTTTGAAAGAAAATCCATGCTAGACAGTCGTATTGGTTTCTCTGAGAAAAAGATTCAGGAATTTTTTGCATTCTGTGGAGTCTGTTGGCTAGAACCACTCAACTTGCTGTTACTGTTATATTTTTACTGAAGCACTAGGAAAGCTGGAGCTCACCCTCAAGTTTCTTTTTTCGTGTTCCACTGCTGAAGAAATAATCCATGTTTACCAGACTCTTGCCAAGTTCAGTATTCATTCGACTGCCAATAATCTGGTTGGTCGAGTTGGGAGCTTTGCTTGAGAACACAGATACGTAGTTAGGCAGTGGCTTTTCCTCCTTTTTCTTACCCTAAATAAAAAAAAAGACCATTAAGTTTTCAGAATTACATCCATTACTTGTTACAAAAATACAAGTTACTGAGATTATTTTTGTCAGCACTTTTGCTTTTGAAATTAGAATTTAATATAGTTAGAACTGTCATACTGAATGTACATGAAAGTGTTGGAGAACTAAAGTGATTGTTTTTTGCTGTTGTCTTACATGGGAATAGGGTAAATGTCCTGGGTTTGAGCTAAAACCCAG